CTGGTTGGCCACCTGCGCACCTTGTGACGCCACCCCGTCCCATCTGAGAAGAGGAGACAAACAGCACAAGACAAACATGAAGAGAGCAGTGCAACAGCAGACAGCATTTCTGAAGCTCCCACAGCCTTCCTTTAAAACAGTCAAAGTACGTACGTGCGCCGGCCCCAGATAGCTTCTGACGCCCAACCAGCTCCGTCCCAGGCACTCCTGGACGCTGGAGGTAAAGAGAAAAGTGTGAACATCCAGCTCCAGGAAACAAAACAGTGGGGAAGGATCAGAAATAATGTTTCTAAGCATTTTAACCTGAGCGACGTCGACATCCAGCTTCCGAAACCGTTCCTTGGCGGCCCGGGCCTTCTTACTCTTCCTGGGCATCCTGCAGAGCTAAAGGATGAGGACAAAAGGAGGGGGAGTAGAGGCAGCAAATGCAAAGCAAACCAGGCAGCAAGAACAACAAATGCAATGAATGTTATTTTTTTTTCTTTTTTTTTCTAGTGAGATGAAACTGGAAATGTGTATAGGTGCTCTGTGTAAAACTGAGTGTGTGTGTGTGAGGTGCAAATGTTGTCCTGTGGTAAGTAGTGTGGTGTAAGTATGTGTGCAGCTAAGTATTTAGGTGGTGGGTTTGGAAAGGTGAATATGTACTGATACAGTATGAATCAAAGTAAGTAGCTGATATGGATGCGAGGTGAGTGTCTGGTGAGGAATGCCGAGCAAGGTCGATCCAAAGATGAAGGGCTGAAAGAGCAGGGAAACAACACAATTAGTACTATGGCAATCCTTAACATGAGACAGTAAAATAGGGTACTAATGTAGTATTACTTCATATTAAATTAAATAAAACAAAGTATAACTTTCTTTTAGCAAAATTTCCAATAACTATGTTGCATAACCGCCCCCCGCCCAAAATATTTTAAAAAAATGAAAAGCTTAACACTTACTTTGTGTCAGACAAGCAAATTCCAAGCACTGAAAACAGTCTAAAAAAACAAAAAAACACATAAATAATATTAACAACACAGGACTTAAATATATATATATATACATGTGTAAGCTACTGACATAAAAAGCAAATC